AAATTTTCATTTTCGATTTTTTTGCGATTACTATAACTTACCCTACGGAAGTTAAAAATCTAAACATATTCAAAAAAAAAATTAAAAAATACAATTTTTTTTCATGTAACTAAAAATACACGCGATGTTGGGTGGTGGAAGTCCAAAAATCCTTAAAAAATCGATCACGTGACTAATGGACGCCCCCTAATGTAAGCAACTATTGTAGATTATTAAAATTTGAACAAAAAAATTTGTTTTTACATTATTGAAAAACGAACACGTGCCAAATACATGCGTAGAATATTTTCTAAATAATTCTAATTTTAAGTATGTTTTATAATTCAACCACTTTTCGTAGGCCATACAAAAATTCATTAAAATCGTAAATATTTTTTTTAGCAAACAATTATGAAGAAACGGTCTGTCCGATGTTTACACAAAATAAATCAGCACGATTCCCAAATAATACTGTTCGAATAGTTTTAGAATTTTCAAAAACAGCACAAGATTTTAGGAGTAAACGCTGACAAAAAAATTGCACTTTTCTGATAATTACAAAGAAACGGCTCGGCTGATCGTATAAAAAATCAAACCAATGCGAGTGCTTATCAAGTTTCATCAAATATTTTTTAAATTTTTGAAATCGACTCAGACGTTTTTGAAAAGAGTTGAAAGGTCTAATTTTAACAAACTTCAAGAAAACGTTCAAAATTTGATGATTTTTTTATTTTAGTATGTCCTACAAGACACTCATTCGATTCAGAATGGCAGAAAACATGAAATTAGTAAATTAAATAAGAGAGAAAAAAACTGCACTTTGCTGTTAATTATAAATATAGAAAGAAACTGCTAAATGGCTTGGCCGATCCTCTCGTAAAATTAATCAAAATGAGATTCATCAAATGGTTTTGAAATTTTTCAAATCAGCTCAACTTTGACGATTTTTTTTAAATTAAACAACTGTAAACAAATGTCGTAGGACTGTAATATTTTAGTATGTTCTATAAGACCATGATATCTATCGTAAAAAAAGTCTTATCAAAATCGTCAAAAAAAAAGTTCAACAAATAATTACAAGAAAACGGCTCGGCTGATCTTTACCAAAAACTAATCAGCGCGATTCCTAAGCAATATCTTTCGAAGGGTTTATGAATTTTCAAAATCGATTCAGAATTGTGAGGTGAAACTTACACTTAAAATTTCAGTTTTTTTTTTGTTAATTACATAGAAAGGGCTTGGCTGATCGACGCACAAAACTAATAAACGCTAGTCCTTATCAAGATACATCAAATGGCTTTTGAAATTTTGAAATCGGTCCAGCTGTTTTTGAGAAAACATCGAGACCGAAAAATCTGTTACACACACACATTTTTATCCAAAATCGGTCTCATTCGATTCAGAATGGCTCGAAATGTCGAGACAACATAGAATCAATAAATCGGATTTTTTGGCAAAAGCATAATTAATAGCAGATTAATAAAAATTTTACTGATTCCAAAATTATGAAGGTCATTTCGACATCACAGATAAATGGTGAATGTGAACCCGTTCGGCGAGATATTTTATCGAAATGAAATTATGTAACCCACCAGTCGGATAATAGAAATTTAAGCACTAAGAATTTTTGTACATGAAAAAATTACAAGAAAAACACATTGGTGTATGTAATTAAATTATAGGCGTGTATATACGATTTTTTCACTAGAAAAATTGACTAGATTTAGACCCCACACTGGTAGAAGGGTTAAGAGAAAATCTTGATCACAAATCAATACAAAAAATGTGAATTTTTGCCTTTGACATATTGTCAACATATGCGGGCGTTGACACGTGTCTTAAATGTGATACTTTCTAAATTGCTTCGAATATGGTAATAGGTAAAAAAATCCCTAGACAAATATTTAGACTATTGCACCACATTAATTTAGTCCACTTTTTACTTATTTAACACTTAAAACCTAAATTGAGCACATACACTTATCACGAACAATATGGTAGTGATAAATCATTTTGCAAATCATTGCACTTTAGGCAAAATAATTTTTAAATAAATATTTTCCGTGGTAGTACTAGTAATTTTTCTATGATTTTACATATCGATCACAACTTAAATATTAAAGAGATTAAACCCAGCTGTTTTTATCACAGTCACGGGTCCAAATAAAGAATCGTACACAAGATCTGAGAGACTATATATAGCCATGAGGGCATGAACCACCCACGTGCATTATTATACACCCGGCAAAAAAACTATCACCACATCGAATTTATATTAAAAAACATTTATAACAACTAAAATCAATACGTGATCACGTTAAAATTATCAAATGCCATATGAATCGTTCGTGAAATCATCGAGTGAAAGAGCTCTGAATACGTACTATTTAAAATTCCACACACAAGGTCATTTATAACAATTTAAACGTAACGAGTATTAAATTACATAAAACACTTGTTAAAATCACTTAATATGTTAACTAAAAACCACAATTCAACACTTAGAAGTTTATAAAATTATTTAAAACTAATGAATATTTTAGGTTAAAATAATTGGCAACCGGCCATGTGCACTAGAGTCGCCGACAGCGGCCATCTTTGAATACCGTCTATGACGATCTTGTGGCTTGTGGCAGAAATTATTCTCATAACCTAACAAAAATTTTTGAAATCATCCATTTCGATTTTAAACAGGCAAATTACAAGAGAACGGATAAATATAATTAAATTTTAGTAAAAACCTAATAAAATAATCATATTCTGCATACGCTTATAAAAATTCCATCACTCAATGTACTTACACTTCCGACGCGCCATATTTGAATCTTTGAAAAGTCTGCAAAGCAAAGGACTGTACCCTAACTTCAGCAAATATAGAAATAATTCTTGAGAAATACTTTTTCAAAACATTTTAACTCAACATTTTAACTTGATTATGTTATGCAACACATAATTTTTATTTCTATATTCACTGTATCCTATACACAAAGGCAGCAACAGTGCACTTCACTTACTTCTGCAGTAATGATGCAGAAACTAAAATTTAAATCCTTTATAGGAGGGGAATGTTTATGTGTTATGTAAGACCCTTGCAATGACCATGACAATGACAGTGACATTATTAAAAAAGAATATGCTTGTGTGAATTTTTTTAAACCTCTTACTAAAACTGCTAATTTTTAAAATTACTTTCCACTTTTATCTGTACTCTTGTAACAATGATAGATGATGGTATAAAGATTTATTGCTTTTTTTAAGATTTAAAAATGACTTAAAATTCATGTTTCTACACTAGAATACCTATCTGTTAATAAGTATTAACATATATTTAATAATTAATATTATTACTTACATATTGCTTCAGTGTTAGCTACTGGCAAATCTTGTCCATTTGGCTTGTCAGACACTACTTTCGTGTTAGAGTTTTCTTTCTTTGCAACACTAGTTTCTGTTCTCAATTTCACTTCACTTTCACTATTACGTTTAGATTTAGGTTGGTTTTCTTTGCCAGTTGGTGGCTTAGAAGTGTCAGTTTTAATTTCAGCATTTTGATTCTGATCAGCACTTTTATTCTGTTGTTTCCTATTCTGCACTTTAGAATCAGAACCTTGCGATAATACTATGTTTTTCATAGATTTCGATGAATGTTTTGGCACTATTTCTACAGAAGGTCCATCAGACATTGCTGATACAACAGGAGTAGTATTATTACCAATTACCACTGGTATGCTACGTTGGGCTTGTTGGTTTTCAGGAATGAATTCTCTCGTACTCGCCTGCAACTTGCTATCACTTACACTGATTTCACTTTTTACATCTTTTAGAATCATTTTGCTTTCATTGGAATAGTCGTCCTCGATTAAACCTTGTTCAATGAAACCTAATTTACCTACACCTTGAGTTAATATCTGCATATCTCCACTAACAACTTTGGCATTGGACATAATTTTTGGCTCAGAATGATTATGTTGATTAATCATAGTCATGTCTGGTGGACATACTTGAACACTACCGTCCATTGTGTCACCCCCTGAAGGTACTCCAATCAGGTGAGCTTCGTCATGAGTTCTCGAATTGCTCTCATCTTTTTCCACCATGAGAGCAACTCTGGCTGCAAATTCTGCTGCAACCTCTGGATTAGGCACCTAATGGTAAAAGAATAAGAATTTATTAGCAAACAAGATAAATAATTATGCAAGTAATTCAATATATTACATTACTATCAAGGTCTAGCAATTTTAATTTAAGTATTTTAAATTCTAAAGCACATTATTAACAAACGTTTGCTAAATAATAAATTTTTTTGATATGAGATAATAATATATAATATTAAATGATATAATAATTAATACCATTATCTTTATATCTTTAGCAATAAAATATTTGAAGTGCATTTCAACTGCATCTAACAATGTGCAATTTAATATCTCATGAAATAATAATATAATCTGTCTGTATTAATTAAAGAATGACCACATAAATTTGAGTCAAATATTAGAAACAATATACTTCTTTTTCCCTACTAACAGCATTTATATTTTGTAATCATCATTTACATTTTAAATCAAATAACTCCTTTAATAAATTTATATCTTAAAAAATCCCAAGTTTGGATTATTGTGCTTTCAGAAACGCTCTGAAAATTTCTAAAAGAAGGTTCTAAGACTTTTTATTCCCTATTATAATATTTTCATTCATTTAATGATATTTTAAATCAAATAACTCCTTTAATAAATTTATATCTTAAAAAATCCCAAGTTTGGATTATTGCACTTCCAGAAACGCTCTAAAGGTTTCTAAAAGAAGATTCTAAGACTTTTTATTCCCTATTATAATATTTTCATTCATTTAATGATATTTTAAATCAAATAACTCCTTTAATAAATTTATATCCTAAAAAATCCCAAGTTTGGATTATTGCACTTTCAGAAATGCTCTAAAAGTTTCTAAAAGAAGATTCTAAGACTATTTATTCCCTATTATAATATTTTCATTCATTTAATGATATTTTAAATCAAATATCTCCTTTAATAAATTTATATCTTAAAAAATCCCAAGTCTGTAGTATTGCACTTTCAAAAACGCTCTAAAAGCTTCTAAAAGAAGATTCTAAGACTTTTTATTCCCTATTATAATATTTTCATTCATTTAATGATATTTTAAATCAAATAACTCCTTTAATAAATTTATATCTTAAAAAATCCCAAGTCTGTATTATTGCGCTCTCAGAAACGCTCTAAAAGTTTCTAAAAGAAGATTCTAAGACTTTTTATTCCCTATTATAATATTTTCATTCATTTAATGATATTTTGAATCAAATAACTCCTTTAATAAATTTATATCTTAAAAAATCCCAAGTTTGGATTATTGTACTTTCAGAAACGCTATAAAAGTTTCTAAAAGAAGATTCTAAAACTTTTTATTCCCTATTATAATATTTTCATTCATTTAATGATATTTTAAATCAAATAACTCCTATAATAAATTTATATCTTAAAAATCCCAAGTATGGAATATTGCATGTTTAGAAACTGTTATATTATTCTACTTGGAATTATTTATTGTTAAATACTAACAGGCTGAGGAGTTTGTCTTTCGCTAGAATCTTCACTTTCGTCTGTAGACTTTTCATCTAACACTTCCTCTAGAACGTCTTTCCCTGAAAAGAAAATTATGCAATAAATAATTAAATACATAAATATTTAACAAAGTATTATAAATGTATTATATTTTTTTTCTTTCTTTGGCCTGTTTTCCAACATTATTAAATCTACATATTGTATCAGTCTATTATTTAATTTAAAATATTCGTTCTTAATATTCACACTTCTATCAAGGTCTTCAAAAACTCAGGACAAAAATATGTTGGTTAAAATTGTTATCTCAATATATAGTTATAAATGTTGGAATTATTGATAATCTGGATTTACATATTGTAAGAGTGTAGTGTAATTATGTGTTAATATTTCTATGTAAGTCCTTTAGTTTTATATACATTTTCTTCTAATTAATTATACAACTTTCTTTTGCTTCTTCCAGTGAATGTGGATATAGACCAAAAAGTATACATGAACAATATTCTTCTTCATAATTGCTTTAATTAAGTGCTTGAACCAACATAACTTTTAAAATAAATTTATTATAAGCACACAAAACTATAAATAATAACATTTACAAAATCTTAGTTAGAACAAAGAGGTAATGATTATAATTTTACAAACCTGAATCAGGATTTACTATTTTTATGGCATGTTTCCTCCTTTGATTTTTTGGTGCTTTATTTAATTGAGTAGTTTGATGCTGGTGTTGAGTCAGTACAGATCCTGAAAGAAAAACAATGAAATTATTTACATTTAGACCAAATTATTTATTTTATGTTGTAATATACATTTACATATATAATAATGATATGTAGAATATATATATATATATATATATATATATATATATATATATATGTATGTATACTTTGTATAGATATTTTATATGATTTCTCATACCAGGTACTTCTGTCTGTCTGAGATGTATAAAATTTATATTAAAATTCATCATCTTTATAATAAAAATCATCAAATAATTATATCAGAGATATTTCAGTATTGTAATTATAAGAAAATAGTATCACACTGAATTGTAACTCAATGTCATGAATACTGAATGGAAATAAAACAAATATTAAGTTAAAATAAATAAAAATGTAAAATTTTGTGGGTAAAAAGTATGTATTTACTTTGCTATTTTATAAGCCTGTTAGAAATATTTTTTTCAACTTAAAAATTGAATTGAATGATTGATGTTAAAGTTTTAGTTAAAATAAGCTAATTTGTTTTTTTGCTCTTCCTCATGAGACAATATGTAGCAACTTACTTAACAAAAATATTTTGGGATAATAATTGAAAAAGTTTCCTGAATGCTCATTGCATCAAATTACTTTATAAAATATATTATAAATTTAATAAAATATCAAAATTTAAGAAATTAATCAAAAAATTATAATATATTCTTAAGGGGGTGTTCTAGACAAAAAAATTCAAGAAATTGATTTTTTTCATATTTTCAAAATTTATCTATTCAAGGATATATGAGCACGATTTTTCAGAATATTTTCAAAGTATTTTTGGAAATATAGATACATTAGAAAAGCTTGACCACAATAATCCTCCTCGGTGTAAAAGTCTTAGAAGTTATTAAACCAATTTATGCGAATTTATTATCAGAAGACTTATTGAATCGATGTTTAAATTGACAAACTCAAAATATAAATGAAGAGTTGAACTTTTTCAAAATATATTCGTTTTACGCGAAACTTCAAACACGTTTTTCTCGAAACCATCTTTTTCGTGATACCCACAATTTCTCAACTTCTACTGGATTGATTTAATTGAAATTTTTACCAAGTCTTCTTTATAGACTTATCATCAGTATAAACTACTGCTCATCAAGTCAGATTTTTACTATTTTATAAAAATTAGAGAGCATAAAAAAAAGTGAAGAATTCTTTTTAGACAGTCGCTATTTTGAGAAAAAAATATTTTAACTTGTCCCTACTTTGTACGATTATGACATTATTTTAGATTAATAATCTTTCTTTTATCTATTGGATTATTTGGAGAGCTATAATCAGAGGTATGGTCAAGTGAAATATTACAGAAATAAATTTACGTGCTTACAGAATTAAAACTTTTTGACTGTTATTAGTTTTTAATTTTTTTCTACATTCTTAAAACATTAATAATATAATGTCTAATAGTTTCGCACAAAATTTATGCATCTAGACAAGAATCACTAGTCACAAAAAAATCGCGAAATATTAAATATCTCCCACGGGCGAGGAGGGTTTATAGTAAAATATCGCGTGTATTTATTTATTACCTGAATTTTTTAAAAAATCCAAACAATTTAAAAAAAAATTCAACGATTTTACAATTTTTTCTCGTAACTATAAATACACGTTATATTTTGTGGGGGAGGGGGGTAATTTTGAATAATACCAAGGAGAAGGGGGGTCCAAAAATCCTTAAAAAATCGATCACGTAATTAATGGATGCTCCCTTAAATGTACTACAAATTTATAGATATAAAGATTTAGTTATATCAAGTCGTCTGTAATAATGCTACTCTGCAGTATATTAATGTTTTTCACCCCCTTAAATGTACTATAATTTTGTAGATATAAAGATTTAGTTATATCAAATCATCTATAATATTACTACAACTTTTTTTTCTCTTACCCTGCATTGGCATCTGTTGTTGTTGTTGAACAGGCACTGCGGTGGGTACGTTTGTACCTTGTACAGGTCTGGGTGGTATACCCATTTGAGGTACAGAAAAATAATCTGCAAAATATAACATTATTTATTACCCATTCTATTAAACAAATATTCCAGTGTACATATTTGATTATTAATTACTTACAAGGTTGGGATGGCGAAGGTTGACTAAATGCATACGCCGGCATTTGATGCTGCGTATTGATTATTGGAAAATTTTGTAGATTAGAGTAATATCTGAAATAAAATAATTATTATTAAAATCGATACATGATGAATGAATATTTGAATGTGATCTTGATGAAACTCACTGTGTTGGTGTTGCTTGTCGTGGTGGGTACTGTCCTTGTGCCATCATTTGAGTGCTGAACATCATAGGAACCTGCGGATACATTGCTGCATGCTGTGGTAGATACTGGAAGAAAAAAATTAAAATAAATGCTAACATTATTTTATTACGTATCAATTGATCTAGAGATAAATTATATATTATATATATATATATATATATATCATGAAAGTTGCATCTTTAGAAGGTTATTCGCGGAGAGTTGTCTCATTCTCATAAATGTTTCTAACAGTGTCAACATTAGATCAGATCACAACCTATTACATGATTCATATTTAAATTTTTTACACTTTTTGACAAACAATTAATATCGACTTCCTTTTAAGATCAACAATTTAAGTATTCACACCCTAACATATAAAAACACACACATACAATCTCACATCTCTCGTTCAAGTGTTTACACGTGTTACAAAGGACACACCAGTTTCAATTAGTTAATTTTCAAAAGCCAATCGAACAACATCCAGAGAACAATATTATTTGTGTTTTCAAATAATAATTTTAAAAAAGACAAATCTTTTAGTAATTTTGATTTACAAAATTTAATTATTCGGCGGAAAATTAACTCACAAATTCATTTTTGTTAAAAAAGCTTGTTTAGTGAAAAAGTGCTAACAAATATTTCAAACATACAGGTAATTAATTCAACTTTGTCATTAACCTTTTCTTAAAAAATTTCCATAACTTTCAAAAAATTTTCTATTATGTTTAATATCCTGTTCTGATAATCCACTCATTTATTTTTATCATTTTTATCATTTTCATTTTGAACATATTATCATATTTCTGTACATTATTATATATTTTTTTTTTTTACAATCAATTCATTATTTAAGAAAAATCTATTTTCTTTTCCTAAACATGTTGTTTGCTAAAATCTCATCAAGATCATGTTTCTTGACAGATGTCCTGAAGATGGAACGTACCTAGTTCCGAAACGTCGACAATAAACAAATAATTAAATAAAGAAATTGTTTTTTTTAAAAAACTTTTCTTGTTTTTTATTTTGTATTATTTTTGGATTCTTGTTCGAAACTCTACAAAATATACACAAATCCAAGACTCTACCATTCAATATATATATATATATATATATATATATATATATATATATATATATATATATATTACTAAAATTGGAGTAACAGGAAAAAAACAAATACAACTTATAGACAATATTGTTTGATACTAGAGATGGGTAACTCACTCAGGAGTTACCACTCCGACAGCGTTTAAAAGTGCAGTAATTAATATTCCATTTCATTAATAAATATTCCAATAGAATAAAAAATACTTATAAATTAAATCTGTATAAAATGCGCATTAATTATATGATAACCCCTATATCATAGGTTTGTATTCGTGTATTTTTATAGCCTTACGTATGCTTATACCTTGCATTCTATAATCTATATTACACGCCTTACACATCTACCATACGCTAAATTCCATCTTACACTCTAAATCCCTACATTATATACCTATACGCCTAAATCTATTATTAACTTATCCCGACAATTTCCCTTACACGCTACATTAACCCTACCGGGATTCGAACCCGGGCGACGACCTTAACCACTACACCACCGTAACGCTTCGATCAATCGTGTTTTTTTCGCGTGTCCGCTCGCCATCTTAGTATTAATAACCTAATTAATTAGAAAATGACTCGCGGAAACAACAGTGCGTCCCTAATAATATTATTAATGGGGATATCCGATAGAGTAGTGGTTAAGGTGCGCGACCGCCACGCGGAGGTCCCGGGTTCAAATCCCGGTACAGACAATAGATAGGTACAGATAATACATAGGGTGTAAGGTAAACCTATATAATATAGGTGAATATATAAATAGTAGAAAGTAAGTTTTATAAGTAGTAAAAGGAATGTAGGTATATAATAAACTACTGACGGTATAGGTAACTCACACGGTATGATAGATAATAGATATCTATCTATGATATACAATAATATAGTAGAGTATGATAGGTAATAGAAATTGATTATCTATCATATTATTAGGTTAAGTCTTATAAAGTATTGCAATAAATCTTTAGTACTCATCATAAAAAATACTTGTAGGTGTTAATGAATACAATTAATACCACAATAAATATAATTAATAATATGTACTCATATAAATTATGTACTCAACGACTCTCTCATACTTGTACAATTTAATGTATAGACTAGGTGTATATAATAGAGTTAATTATAAGTTAATTATATAAGAAGTCAATATATTAGTTTTGTGAGTTCTTATCGAAATATATGAAATGCCTTTTAAACTTCTAAAATCGGTGCAGACACTTTAGAAAAAACGTGTAGGAAATGGTAATAGAAGTCCAAAAATCATTAAATCAGTAGGTCATATTTTCTGGCGAAAATAAACCTCTTCTTCAAAAAGTTAGAAAAAAGGAATGGACTTGATTGAATGTAGAAAAATCAGTAATGAAATTCATTTGAATTTCAATTTTTATAACATAATTAATTAAATAACATTTAATAGTGATTTTTAAAGGCTTATCTTTTATATTCTTTAAGGAACAAAATCGTTTTTAAAAGTCAAAAATTTTGTATGAGGGCTGCAACGTTTTTAGAAATGTTAAGATGGGACGTGACCCATAAAAATTGGAAAATACTGTCCTAGACCATCGATTGTATTACAAGAAGTTGCAAGTTTCAAAATTGATCCCTTTATAATCAATTTTTTTTTTGTTTCATAATAGGAATTGGAGATGAAAAATAAATAGCAACGTGATTAGCACTATATATATTATCATAATATGAGGTAAGGATATTAAATTATCAAAACGGTTTCCACGTGTAGATAAAAAACTAAGGAAAGAAATTATTCTTAACGCTATTTTTGCAATGTAAATATAATATTCTTTAAATATTCTATAAATTTCAAATAAGCTATAAATTACAAATAGGATCAAATACTTACTGATCTATGATGTGCAAGTCTCTGCGGCTGCTGAGGTTGCCCTTGAGGTCTGAAGGCTGGAAATGCATTTGGCGTGGTTCCCCTCACACTTGTTGCATTGGGCACAAAATTAGGCTAAAATCAGAAATAGAAATTAATATTTGAACTTTTTGGTAATAAATTAAACTAAACTAGTTGGTATTGGTATTTTGCCTTGAGGGTGTAAATAATCGACTTAATCAATAAAATATAAATTAATTTATGAGTGATTAAAAGTATTTCGAGTGGATTTATTACACATATTGGAAAACGAACGAACACGTTAACTCGGAGTATTTTCTAAAAGCAAATTTTCAAAAATCAATCATTTTTATAATTTAACCAGTTTCCGTTGGACTTTAATTATTTTGTATGTTCATTAGGACCAAGTACTCTGTCGTTATACCAAGTAAATCATCTATTTTATTTTCTCAAACTTTGCTGAATTTTTAAAATTAAACTACTTGTCGTAATGCCGTAATATTTTAGTATGTTCTATAAGACCATGATATATATCGGCAAAAAAAGTTCCATAAATATCGGCTTAAATTTTAGTTTCAACAGTTACAAGAAAACGGCTCGGTAGATTTTCACCTAAAAGTAATCAGTATAATTCCCAACTAATATCTTCCGAACAGGTTTTGATTTTTTTTAAATCGATTCTGTAGTATGTGCTTATTTGTTGACGAAAAGTTCAACCCTTTTTTCCAAATTACAAAGAAACGGCTGTTTTACAAAAAAAAGAAAAAAATCTGTTCACATACACACACACACATGTACATATTTTTTTCAAATTCGGTCTCATTCTTAATGTAAAAAATTGTATTATATAGTCAATTGCTTATTGGAGCAATTACTATCATTTATTCCCTGGTTATTTTTTTATTTATATATTTTTATTTATTTTTGATTTTTGTTGTTTTATATTTATGTACAATTTAGCCTTATATCTTACAGAATTCTGCCACTAATTTTGATCCTTGTATAATATTGAAAGAATAAAGTGTAACAATACTATTTTAGTCATACGACTACCTAAAAGATCTTTTCCGAATATGCTGCACGGTTATTAACTTCCCGAAGGAGAAGTTTATGTTTTCAACAAAAAATCCGATACGCTAATTTCATGTTTTCTCGACGTTTCAAGTCATTCTGAATCGAATGAGACCAAATTTGGAAAAAGTATGTGTGTGTGTGTGTGAACAGATTCTTGGCCGTAAATCGACGTCTTATCAAAAACGGCGATTTCAAAATTTAAAAGCCATACTATGTATCTCGATTGGGACTAGCGTTTATCAATTTTGCGCGACGATCAGCCTAGCCCTTTCTTTGTAAATAGCAGAAAAGTGAAAAATTTTTCGTCTACGTTTTAGCCCGTAGTTCTGGATCGATCTTGAAAATTCAAAAACTGTTCGAAAGATATTGGTGGGGAATCGTGCTGATGATTTGTTGGTAAAGATCAGCCGTGCCGTTTTCTTGTAATAAAGTGTTAAAAAAAATTTCTTCGACGATTTTTATTATTATTTTTCTGACGGTAGATACCATAGTCTTCTAGATCATACTAAAATATTAAGGCTCTACGACAATTGGTTTAACTTTAAAAATTCGTCAAAGTTTGCAAAACTTGGTATCGTTTTTTTGGCATTGTCAAAATTAGACCTTTCATCGACGTTTTCTCACAAATGTCTGAACCGATTTCAGACTTCGACGTATCTTGATGACGACTATCGGTTGCCAGTTTTGTGCGACGATCTGCCAAGTCGTTTCTTTGCAATTTGAAAAAAAGTGTTAAACTTTTCGTCCACATTTAAGCTCATCCTGCCGAATCGATTTTAAAAAATCAAAAACTGTTCGAAAGATATTAGTTTGGAATGGTACTGATTAGTTTCAGGTGAAAATCTACCGAGCCGTTTTCTTCTAATTAACCGTTCAAAAAAAATTTAAGCCGATTTTTATGGATTTTTTTTAGCGATATATACCATGGTCTTATAGAACTTACTGAAATATTACGGCCTTACGACAAATAGTTTGATTTTAAAAATTCATCAAAGTTTTGAGAAAATGAGTAGTTTTTATGGCGTTTGTTAAAATTAAACTTAGACGATTCACTTGGTATAACGATAGAGTACTTGGTCTTAATGAACATACTAAACCATTAAAGTCAAACGGAAACTGGTTCAATTAAAAAATATTGATTTTTGAAAGTTTGCTTTTAGAAAATACTCCGATTAACGTGTTTGTTTGTTTTCAATGATGTGCAATAAATCCACTCGGAATACTTTTAATCACTCATAAAATAATTTATTTTTTATTGTTTAAGCCGACATATCGGAAAGTTCATGTAACTTGCCTCAAGGCTAAATACCAAACCAACTAGTTTAAATTTTGACTTAGACCACTTTCATAATTATGGACACAATTGATATTGTAGTGTAGTAATTACTAACACTATATTATCATTTATCTTACGATTGTCATTTGCGGCTGCTGCTGCTGCATCTTGTTCAAGTCCTGCTGTTGCGGTTGCTGCTGCGACTGCTGCTGCTGCGGCGGCGTAGGCGGCGCGTTGGGCACCATGCCGCGGTGGGCCTGCTGCCCTTGCTGCTGCTGCTGCTGCTGTTGCTGCGTCTGCGGCGGAACGGCCTGGTTGGGTCCCGCCTGCGTCGGTACGAACCCGCCGCCGGGAGGTGTTGTTACATGGTACTCCGATCCTAGAAAAAAATTTATAAAATTATATTATTGAAAAATTAAAGGTTGAAACTATGTTCTGTATTTGTGAATAGTAATAATTCACTTTAACAAGGTTTGCTATAGTATACTACTATAGGATATATCGTACAAGGGTTAGATTGATTTAAATTAATCATACATTATGAAATGAAAAGTAAATACGTGTGATAGGTATGTAAATGTTTTGAGTAATTATAAAAACAATTGAAAAGCGTAAATATATTGCGATGCAGATATTTAAAGTACCCATGAGAATTTAAAAGAAATCGTTGATTTTATATTCTCTTTCTATATACATTCGATCACAATTATTTTTCAAGTCATATTGAGCGCTAGTAAAATATATAATGAATTGCCAAACGATATTAAGATGACCAATGATGACGATAATTTAAGGGGCACAACTAGTGTGAAATTTTCAAAAAATCAAATTTTCAATTTTTCCATATTTCAATAGGTTATACCTTTAAGAATAACATACCAAAATTTTAAATCGATATCTTAAATAGTTTTTGAGTTACATACATTTGAAAGAGTGTGTGTATAGTATATAGTATAACGATCATTTTATCTTTAAACGCGTTTTTCTCGAAACAGCATTTTCCGAATTTGCTGCAGCGATTACTCAAAAACAAATGCTCCGATCACTATCAATTTTTTTTACATGTTCTATATATAGTTCTCCGCAAAATGAACTATCGATTTTTTGATCGGATCAAAAATCGAACTTTGGCAGTCCAAAAACGACCAAAATTTTGGGTGAAATTCGACTTTTTTCTAAAAAAAGCCGTCATTTTGTCAATTTTTGATTTTTTTCTTTATCGTAGTTCATTTTACAGACAATATTATCTAGTTGAACGAGAATTTTTTTTTTTTAATTTCATCCACGTAGAAGGCCGAAATCACTGCAGCAGTGAAGGGCCTTTTTTTGTCGCGCCATTGGAAATCGACGATAACTTAAAAAATATTTAATTTTTTTTATTCAAAAATTTTACTATGTATTCTTAAAACATGTATAAATATATTCCTAAAATTTTGAAATGATTGATGAAGTAGTTTTTTTAATATAAATTCCCAAAAATCACCTTTTTCTTAGGCGGTTACACTAGTTGTGCCCCAAGAAAAATAAAGAAATATTATAAGGAAATTGAATACAAAGAAGACTGAAGAGTTATATCAAGATATTCTAATTATAATAGATATTATATTAATGAAATAGTTATGAAATGGTATATATAAATTATGTAAACTGTTTTCATAAAATCTCATACCAGGCACTCCTGTCTGTCTGAGATATGAAAATAATGTATATATATAAATAAATATATAAATTTCTAAAAAAAAGTATCCTATTCATAAATCCAATTGATCTGCTATATCAACGTTGTTTACCTAAGTACTAAAATCCTCTAACTTTAACTCAATTAATAAAGTTACAAATATTTATAATATATCCCTAAAACAACTAACATCCTTTTGCACAAATTAAGTTTTGTAATGTTTCACTCGTGTGTTACTTTTATATTATATTTAATTTAGTGCTGTATTAATAAGTTAGTATTTTATATTATGTATCGTTTTTTTGAGCCCTCCTAGAGGTATATTGTAACCTATGTAATAAAATAAATAATAGTAGTCATTGAATAATGAAAACAAAATAATTCAGAAATGATAAGTCTTTTGATAGATTCAATGCAATCTTATACAGGATATATTTTTTCAAATATGTAGAAGAAAGAAGTTCACTTTAATGAACTACTCATGCTAAACTATAATAGAATTATATATTTTTTGTTTATATTTTTGCCAAGACTTAACTATAGTTTATTTCGAAATGTTTGAATGCATATATGTGTAATGTATAATAAGAATGTATGTAATTTAATGTATTAATATCAATTTGATAGATAAACAGATTATAAGTTATGATGCCTAAATAATGTATACAAATTAGAACTAAAATAAAAATCTTCTAAAACTAAAAAAAAGAAAATTAAAAAAACTCATGCTAAACATTCTTTCCAAATTAAACATAATATCATATGTATATTTCTTTCGATCTATAAAAGCAAATCGTTCATTTAATTCAAATATCTTTAAAATTTAATCAAATTCATCAAAAGTTGAACATCGCATTGAATAATTATTATAAATTCATTCTAAAGAATAATATCGTTTGATAATTTATATGTTTGCACTACTCTCTACAAAAGTATTTTCCAAAAGAAATAGATTTATGCCCAAGGGTGCTTTTCCAAATTTAATGTTAAAAATGTATCCCTATATCACAGAAATAAATCAAGATTTTGTATTAAATGAAAATATCACTTTAATGAAATGGAATCTCGTGTACTTATACTTATTACTGTGATTTTTTTTTTTAGGTATTATACTTTTTAGAGTACTTTCTAATATAAATTTACTTTGAATATTTTTCTATTACAATGAATATTTTTAAATCACTATTTCACAGTTTGTTAAAAAAAATAGAATATATAATTCGTAGCATAAAATTTTAATGCAACATGCTTCAATAAATTTCAAGTTACTAAATTAAAAATCAAATAAATGAATAATAACAGAGCTCGTTAATTAATAAAAACTGGTTGATAAAAAGTTAATCTATTGATGTAATATTGATAGTATATTAGGTTGTATATCCCTGGCATATTTTTATTACAGTTTTCTTTATTTATTTTACAGTTTGTTAAAAAAAATAGAATTGTTGATTCAGCAAAATAATTTCAGATAATTTCATTTTTTATACACACACTAGTTAATAGTGCTCGTTAATTAATAAAAATAGATTGAGTATGAAATTTATTTTTTGATAAATTTTCCATTAGGTTGTACAGCCCTGGCATATTTTTATTGCAGTGTTTTCTTTATTTATTTCACAGTTTGTTAAAAAAATTAGAATATATGATTCGTAGCATATAATTTTGCGGTGACATATGTTTCCAGTTATTGTATCAGCAATAAATATGTATTAAAATTGGAGACACAAGGTCACAGGTGTGCTATTACATAAGTCAGCAAAGAAAGAATATTTCAAACTATAATAGTAAATTAGATTATATATATATATATATATATATATATATATATATAAGATTCTATCTTCAGGGAAATATATCAATTAAAAAATTGTAAAAATTTATAAATTTTTTCATTAATCCGTACGAAATGTATAGACATTATTTGATGTCATATTTAGTGGACTACAATTTGAAAGAAACAAAAATATAAAATAACTAAACTATGTGACAATGAAAGTATTAATTAAAACTAATTTATAATCAAGTAATATAGTGTAAAATTACTCCTAATATACTCCTAATTATCTCATGATAATAATTTTTTAATTGATGTATTTTCTTTTTTAAATCTCACATATTTCAATATCAAAATTATTGAAATATTAAACGTTATTTAGCCATAAAATTATTTCCAAAAAATTTTTGGTTAAGCCATTACTAACAGATTGTGAATGTTAAAGGTATGTGATATAGAAGTACAAGGGCCAGTTAACACAAATTGTATGGATGGTTTACCCACTGCAACGCATGCCACATATAAATTTTCCTGTGGCCAATTGATAGTACAAAATTGCAAGTGCCAGCCTAATCTAAAACCGATTTCATTTAAATTGAATTGTCATGTTTGAGGTATTGATATATTATTATCAGGTTTTAAAAATTATTTATGAGTAATTATAAAAAGTGTCTAAGTGACGTGAGGCTTTTGGGAGAGGGAGGGTTTGACAAAAAATCACAAAAAATCACGTGGGGGAGGTAGGGGTCTAGTAAGATATCGCGTGTATTTAATTAAAAAATTTAAAAAAAAATTACGTTTTTTTCGTAAACACTATGAAGATGGAAATAATTCTAAATATTACGACGTATCACCAAGGGGGAGAGAGGGTCCAAAATTCCCTAAAAAATCGATCACGTGATTAATAGACGCCCCCCAACTGACAACACAAGCCTATATGTTTCAATACGTTGCAAACTATAGTTTAACAATAATAATTCTATAAGTGTAATGAAAAGCTGTTTTTATATTTTCTAAGAATAAAGAAAATAAATACTAAGACGGTTTCTTTAATTTTTTGCAGACAAAAATTAAATTTTGACCCTCATGGTGAAAAAGCATGATAAAATAAATTATACATCAAATTGCATGTGGCATGTTAGCCTCAACTTTGCGTAAGACTTCATAGCCATAATACACGTGGTATTAATTACGTCCAATTAGACCGAACTGAATTTTCTTTCCATATACAAGACTAGTAGTTCAAACAAAATTAGAGCGTATAAATCAGCAGTTTCTGCTGGCACGCTAAAATTTAAATAATTAATAATAAAAAAAAAATCTACATCATTTTGTTTACCAATTGAAATAATAGTTTATACTTCACTCACCACGTTCATTAACAACATATTGGTTAATATGTGAATTTTTCAAGGCGACACCTAACATGATGTCGACTGGCACTACACTACACAATATTGTGACTGATGAGGGAGATAAGGAAACTATAGATAACAAAACTTCATTTTGTAACCAACCGACGACATGTACAAAAGTGTTGTCACACTGTAATAAAATGCAGCAATATTTGTAATATTATGAATAAATATCAAATACGAAGTGTATGTCATTGTCATAGTTGTTACTTGGTATCGGAGAAGCAAGTGTTTGAAAATAACGTTGATGGTATAATATGATTAATGGATTTACCGGATTATGTGTCTAACGATTTAAGCATGTTCATTATATTTAACAAAATGAAAATTATGAATGTGTGTTTTTAATTTACCGGTTAACTGTGTTGGGGTTTGTGCGCATAGTTTTGTGTCGTCTATATCGAACTCATGACGAGTATTTTCGTCAACAATAGAGATAACGGATAAAAAATATAATCCGATGACGATTCAAGTGAAAGTCATAATTTTGTTACATGGGATATTGGAAATAA